GAAAATATGCTTTATAGAGGCTCTAAAACCTTGGGGTTTTTGGTACAAGTTTTAATATTGATTATTGTCAATTTTTTTCTAAATTAATTTCTTGTTAATTTAGCACTTCAAAACCTTTAATGGACATTTAGAAATTTATCTCTAAGCTTTACTAACATTTTAAATTTTAACATTTATTTTTTATCTAGGATGATTATTATGGTGATCATCTAGTGTTATAATTTATCTTCATATAAATAATCAGATTACATGTTTCTTGCTATCTTATGTAAATATTTATTGTTTTATGTAAAACAAAGCAAAGTGTCCTAAGATAGGCATTTCTCATTTTGGTTAAATCTTGTGTGGTTCATTAAGTCATGACCTTAATTGCTTATTTGAGTTTTCACGAGGTAGTATACATGAGTATGTACACATGACTATGGTATTTTTATACCAGAGTTTCCAAGCTCTGTTTGGGTGGATCTTGGCCTAACCTGACTGTATAGGATCCCATCCAAATTTCCTACTGATGGTGCCATATGTAGTTATTTATTTTAATGTATGTCTTGAACTTGGGGTTGGATGCAAATTAGCAATTTTATGATAAGGTCAATTCATGAAGTTATCATTATTTGTTTAACTTTAAAACCTGTTCTACCTGCAACATATTTAACCAGCAAAAACATGAAGTGAGGCTAAAGTACTAACAGTTCATTGTTCAGAATTAGAAGTCTGTATTTTTGCAGGAATGGATGCCTTCACCTACAAGGAATTTAGATTTCTTCCTGCTTGGTGAGGGCTAACTCTAGAAATGGGGGAACACTTTGAAAAGTGTCAGTAATATATTAGAAGCAGATGGGCATTCAACACCTACACAAAATGCTCTGAGATAAAATGTGAATAACTGAATTGATTTAATAAAGGATCAAACTTAAAACATTAGGATTCATAAAAAAGCCAAACTTAGTTTACAAATTAAGAGGAACACAAATCAAATAGAATTTAAGAACAATGAGTTCTAATAATTCTGTTTTCCCCTCTTTATATAATTGTTAGTGATACAGGTATTGTTTCCTTTTTTCTGCCTCAGAATTTTTCTTTTTTTCTCAATCTACATATTCCTTTTCTTGTCAAAGAGATGTGTATTGGTTTGTGCTAGAATCACTATGTTACCATCACCCTTTTCAGGATTTTTAATGTTTTGTGTGATACATTTCATATTTTGACTTTTGGGTGGGTCTAGATTTAGAAACGTGTTTTGGTTGGAAGGGTGAGACTCTGGATCTCAGCAGGCTTAAGTGTTGGAAAAGTTGAAGCTTATAGAGAGAACAAATAAACATGGCCATCAAAGCCAGGAATTAAGATCTGTTTATTCACCTGCACACTTGAATTAAATATCAAGGAATGGGCAGAGCCATCATTGAGCCATTCAGATAATTAAGATTCTGATAAAACAGTCATGTTCAGGAGTCTATATTGCCTGTGTTTAGATGTAGGGATTGGTACAGTTACCATGTAGTAGATGGAGAAGTTCTTGTTGAATTACTACTAAGCTATTGATTTACAGCATAGAGAAATCCACAACTAGAGATGACACTGAGTGAAGGATAATTAAATGGAAAAGTCTGTATGAGGTATGGGCAAGAAGCAAAAATCACTTGTGCCCTTGTATTTAGCATTGAACAGTACTACAAATGAAGAAGACTGGAGGAAGCAAAGGGAGAGCACTTAGGTTGGGTGTGGCTCATGTTTCTTTTGCTTGAAGGGAATTCTTTATGTGTAGGGTAATAAAGATATGTGAGATATGTACTCTAATAAGTATTCCCTAATTCATTTTCATTGTTAAAGTTTGTCAAGGTTCAAGTAAATAGAGCAATGCTTTTAATGGTTTTAAGAATGCTTTTTAAAAAATAAGTGTAGGGCCCAATCTGTTGACTCTGAACACTTCATGGTCAAGATAAAAGTTGACTTCTGATACATAAAAACAAAATGAAAAAGCCTTTAATTTGTGTTGATTCCCTTGGTTCTGTAATTCTCTTCTGTACCTCTTACTATGGAGTGTGACTTATGGTGATAAAGAGCTCTTGGTTTAACCTTTTAACTAAAAGTAAGTATAGCTTCAGTTTCAGTTTATGGTAGCTGTGGAACAGAACTTTCTCCTTAAACCACTCTTATGTATGTTAACTTTTCAAATTCTCTTCTTACTTCAACACTAGGTTTGGGATTTTGATAACATTGATACTGCTTTTGCAAATCTGTAATTAAATTCAAGGGGAAAAGGTAGACATCAAATTCCTTACACATGTCGCAGAGGGCTCTGTAGTGTGGTCTCTTTCACAAATGTCATACATTAATTCTCTGAATACTATGCCATTGGATCTTTGTGCTTCAGGTGATGTTTTTTGACAACTCTGAAAATGAGAGTTGGATTTTCTCAGTCACCTTTCCTACTCCATCGTAGACTCTGAATATTCTGCCTTTATTTTTCTTCCCCAGCTTTCCACAGCCTACCAACTCCTGACAAGTTTCATTAACTGATGCTTTCTATTTCTTATAATCTTGTTTATTGTATTACTAAAATAAAATGAAGTCAGTGTTATCTAATGTATCCTGTTATGTTTATGGTCTTGTTTGGTGAAATGAAAACTAAGTTACATGAATTTTTTTGTATTTTAGAAATTATAATGATATTGAAGGCTGTATCATTTCTATATTTTATATGAGATCTAGAAAGAATATTGTTTCTTTTAAATTTCCCATTTCTCCATTAGATGTAGCAAACTTCATAAGTATCTATTTTTTGATGCTATTTCAATATTTACTTATTACTCTCTTCCTCTCCTTATTTTTCCGATAAGATATTTCTCTTAAATGAGAAAGTAAAGAATATCTTATAGATGGAAACTTAATGTATTTTACATGATCTTAAAGAGACATAATCATGCTGGGGTTGTGGCTAAAGTGATAGAGTGCCTGCCTAGAAAGTACAAGGCCTTGAGTTTAAACCCCAGTACTGCCAAAACAAAAAGACACAAAATCATAAGCAACTACATTACCCTCAAGTTAGTGTATACATTCCTGTTTTCTAAAATGAGATTTAATTTGTTTCTAAATTATGCAAATTAACTATGAAATTCACGAGTATATGCATTGTATATTCATTGTATGTGCTTTACAAATATATAAATTTATATAGTTAATATCCACTCAGTGTTGAGAATATTTCCATCATCCATTATAATGGATTGACTAGTGTCCCCCAAAACTTGTGACCATCAAGATCCTTAAAATGTGACCTTAGTTGGAAATGGTCTTTGCAGATGTGACTAAGGTAAAAATTGAGACGAGCTCATATATAAGGTAAGCCCTACATTCAATGAGAGTGTCTATAATAGACAGAAAAAGGCAAGTACATGAGCAGAGAACATGGGAAGATAGAGGCAGAGATTGAATTACACTGTCACAAACCATGGGATGCCTGGGGGCCACCAAAAGCTGAAAGATCAGGAGATGATTCTCCCTTTAGGCCTTCAAAGAAAGCATGGCCCTAACATACCTTGATTTCAGACTTCTATTCTCCAGAATTGAGAAAATAAATTTCAGTTGTTTAAGCCACCAACTTATGGTAATTTATTATGGTAGCATATGGAACTATATAAGCACTCAAAATTCCATTGCGTTCCTTCCTTGTCTGTCTTCAACTCTTAAAGGCAATGTGGTGTTCTTAGTTGTACCCCTATAGATTATCATTCCAGGTCAATTATTTAATGTAAATTAGATTACACAGAGTATGCTTTTTTCTGTGTATCTGATTTCTTTTGATGAATATAATGTATATAAATTTGATTCATATTGTATGTATCTGTATTTTGATATTTTTTATCCTTGAGTTAAACTCACAGTATGAATTCACCACAATTTGTTCATTCCATCCATAGGCATTTGTGTTGTTTCCTCCTGCCCATATTTCATGTATTTACTACATCTGTTTTTAGCTATTATTGGTCTAGGATTGGTATATCCTATAATGCTCTTGTAATCAGTACCTTAAAAGTATAGCAAGTACACTTAAAGTTTAATTTTCAGTTGGTTTTCCTTATTAATGCAGAAATTTGAATGTTTTATCTTTGGCTTCCTCTTTCAAGTCTTCCATGTTATGGGTAATTTATTTAAACCCTGAAAATTAATGCTTATTTTTAAAATTTATACTTTTGTAGCTATACCAGAACAATTTTTCAATTGTTCACTATTGATTGTTACATTTTACTTTCTATTTGCTTCCATTTTATTTTTCCTAATACACAGTTTATTAGATTTTTTTTTAGTGGATGCTTCTGTGTGTGTGAGTGTGAGGGGGCTGAATATATTATTTTGTCCTCATTCTTAAACTTGTAATTAAAGTGCTTATAAAATTATGGCATGATAATTATTTTTCCTCAGCATGTTCAGTATAGTATCCTATTACTAATATTTATTGTTTCTGGATAGAAATCTGCCATCAATCAAGTTTTCATTCCTTTGTAAGTAATCTGTTACTCTTTTCTGACTTATCTTTATTCTTTAGAATAAAGATGCTGTGTTCAGATACAGAATTCTTTTAAGTTATTCTGCCTAGGTCTGTTAGTTTTTCATCTAAGAGCTTATCTTTATTTAATTCTGGAAACTAATCGCCATGGTCTCTTTGTATTGTATATGTTATCCGTTCTCTCTTGGAATTTACTAATCTTGCTTTGGCACCTTCTCATACTCCTCCGTCTGGCTTAATATCCCCTAGACCATTCAGTTTTTTTAAGTTTCTGGCCTCAATTGTTCCTCTGAGTTTCCTCTTTATTTCTAAGTCTGGTTATGTAATAACTTTTCTTTTTTTATTTTTTGCAGGGGATAAGATATTTCCTTTTGAATTTCTATGTGAGTAGAGCAGAGAGACAAGAGAAGATTTGTGTTTTCACTATGGTATATAGACCAGAAGTCTGCTCACATTCATATTTAAACATGTTCATTTTTGTTTTTTGTTACAGCTAGTTATGTATCAAATCCCACTTGCAAGGGTTGTTTGTCTTGTTCAAAGGACAATGGGTGCAGCCGATGTCAACAGAAGTTGTTCTTCTTCCTTCGAAGAGAAGGGATGCGCCAGTATGGAGAGTGCCTGCATTCTTGCCCATCAGGGTACTATGGACACCGAGCCCCAGATATGAACAGATGTGCAAGTGAGCATTTGACTTTTATCCATCTTAATTCAGTAGATAAGCAAATTAAGGAATTAGGTAAATCAATATTTTTACTGAAAAAAATTATATTTTTCAAAAGCTATAGAGACATTGCCTAAAGTCAAACTTGATCAAATGAATAAGGTAGGATAATAGCACTTTATATTTTATATAGAATATCACATTTTAAAATTTATTTAGATTAAGTACTTTTTATCATGAGGATGCTGGTTAGACAGAACTTTGTAAGGAGTACTTACTCATTGCTTACACATAAAAGAAAAACTCAACTAACCAACCAATCAAAAAATCACAAAGGAATTTATGTACTGGGAATATTCTCTTTGGTTTAACCTTGCATCTATAATTCCTTTTCTCTTTTATATGTGTTTGTAATGCCTGCTGTAGTCTTAATGTAACTAAATATATGCATTTTAAGTTTATTTAAAGCACTGTTAATGATAAAGATGTACTTAAAATATTTAGTTTATTTCAAAGTATTCTGAGTTCTAAGTATAGTCAGGATATTAAAGGGTTGTTAAGAAATGTTATTCTGTATGAGATAATGAAGGTACAACTGTTCATCTTTTAACTCAGAGATCATTTCTAGATGATTCTCCTCCTCGTCATCAGTAGAAATTAGGGTTTAAAACGAGATATCAAAGAAACATTGTTTTCTTTAAAGAGCTTACGTTTTAGCGGATAAAGGGAATGAGGAAAATGAAACTATGGAATAAAATGGCAAACAGTAAGAAGTTTAATCATAATTTAATACATTAAGTGCTATATCAATAAGTATTAAATATACCTCATATATCTCCCATTAACACACTGTGTACATGACTATTCAGCCAAGATGATCTTTAGATAATAGTTTGCATTATCTTATCTAAGGATAATAGTGTTTTAGTACAAGGCAGAATTTGTGTTTGTGTGTGTGTATGTAAGCAAATTCTAGAAAAAAAGAAACATATATATGTAAAAATAATGTGTTTGGGGGACAAGTCTCACCAGGATTGCTATCAGGCATTTCTGAGGCAATTCTGTTTCACAGGACTGAATGTTCATGGTCTCTTGCCCATTAAATATCCTTTATGCTATCAAATCACTGTGACAAACAAAAATGTCCTCAAACATTTCCAAACCCACTGGAATAGGAGCTCAGTACTATCCTTGGATGAGATCCATTGAATGACACATGCTTAGTGGGAGGTGTGGTTGGAATTGAGGATGGAAAGGGATGCTTGAGTGCAACTGATAAAGGTCTTCAGTGCCAGGCTAAAAAGTCTGGACATTATCTATTGTGTTAGCAGTGGACTAAAGAGATTGCTTTATTTGAGATAACTCTCGCAGAAGTGAGGGAGATGAACAGAAGTGAGGGAGATGAATTGGAGAAAGGCAAAAAATTGAGGAGGACTATTGTAACAATCACAGATTAGAAATCTTGCTCTGATTTAAAAAATTGTGGGTAATAAGTTCCAGAGGCTTTTAAAATAGAATCATCAGGACTTGGTAACCAATTGCACAGTGGAAAGAAGTTGAATAGCTTTATCAGTAGCAGAAACAGAAATATTTAGGCTTAGAGGAAATTTGGATTTATCTTCATTTCATAGAATTGTTTCAATTATCAGAGGGACACACTCTAGCAAGTTTCAATAGATTGGTTATTTTTTAGAAATATTGATCATGCCTTTAAGGTATATGATTTGAGATACCCAATAATTTGTCTTTTCTAGTTTATGACCATGGTTAGAATAGGGTCCACCATGAAACAGTTCCTATCCAGATTGCTTTAGAACACCTATGGGGATTTGAGTCCATGACTATTCTCTGAATTTTTCTCTGTAAATTGTCAGCACACAATGAAGACAAGGCATGAGGGTAGATGGGTGGAGGCATTTTTCTAAATTCTAGGAGTAGCATTGCATGAACTGTGTATGAACAACAGGTTGTGTTACTCAACGTGGGTCATTGGGAAGTGAAAGAGATGCTATTAATAACTGTATAAGGAGCTGCTGCATAAAGCAGGTCTGTCCTAGGCAAACTGGTATGGATATCACCTCAGCAGTATCTCATACTATATTAACAGACTTCCTTAGAGACAACTCCAGGCAGGGGTTAACACTCATTTTGACTAAGTTGATCTCTTTTCTCAGAAATGGAGAGTAGTGACTGTAAATCAGCTTTGGAAAGAGAATTTACATGTGAGAATGGGCTTGCCTCTATGGTTATACTTAGTATAAGTGAACACAATCAATGCTGGAGTTTACTGACCTAGAGGAAATCATTACTTATGTGGTACAAGCAGGAAGTGCTTACTAGCAAGACCCCCATGAAGCAAGTGAAAATGGAAAATGATTTCTTAATTCTTAGTATATGTCTGTACTTCCACGCTATTTACTTTTTCCATTTTTTTTTTTTTTTGGTGTATATTGCACTGATTTTTGTATCTCAATTTAGAGGGTGAGATGGTTTTAAATTGGAAAAGTACTCACAGAATTTGAAGACATAACCACTTTTTGTTTAGAGATTATTGCTCAATGATAGAAAAAAAAATTAAGTTTAAGTGGTAGTAACTTGGAAGATTCTATAACTGGAACTTGCCCACTCATTTCCTAATAAGTGGTTCAAGAATCTAGCATAGTGTGATTTCTTCTAAGGGAAGACTTGCTCTATGAAACGTTTGCTGAATATGGCTTCTTGAGATATGCAGTATGAAGTTTATAAAATTTAAATATGCTTATGAGAAACAATTCAATACCCACTTGAGGCATGCTGAGAGTATGTATACTAACAGACACTAAAAGCTGCCTTTTTTCCTGATACTATGTTAGGTGAGATTTCTCTCATATTTTCTCTTTCTCATTCATTAATAAACTGAATTACACAAAAGTTTCATATTTTAATTGTTATCCATAGTCCTGTAGAAAGCTTAGCAATTACATAAATCTTACTGAAAAGCAAATGCAAAAACAAAAATAAACACTTCTCAAAGACAACAAAGGTTAACATTTTGGATTCTGCCCTTGTCCTTTTGTTTCTATGCGAATCCATGGCTTCCCTTCCCCCCTTACAAATGTGTTATTGTATTTCTTATCTAACTTGATGAATTATGAATATTTTTTCACACCATAAAACATGGTTGCCTGAATTCTCTTGAGTTACATATACCATAATATACTTAGCTAATTACCTATTGAAAATTTACTTTTCATTTTCCACTTATAAGTAGTTTTTTGAGAAATACTCATATATAAATGCTTCCTCTTTCTTATGTATGCATATATTTATACATATTTGTCAGATTTATTTTGTAAGACTCAGTTTTAATCAAAATATGTATTAGAGACTTTTGATATACATTGCATGTTCTTCTCTTCATTAACAGAGGACATTTTCCCTTGCATGTCACTAGATATTAATGAAAAAAGTGCAAAATTGCATTTTTGTTTTAGTGTGTTTTTCTTTGATATATATGAAGTTGCACACTTATTTTTCACATGAATATTAGCATGGTAGGATATTTGCCAGAATATTTAGTCTCTGTTTTATTTTTCTACTTGCAAAACTATCTTAATAGTAATTTTCAAAAAAACCCCTTTAAATTAGATATCACACACAATTCAAAACTCATAGACAATAAATGGGAAGCTTAATGAGTCATCACAAAGGAATACACATATGTAATCATGGAGGTTAAGAACGAATGTCACAACTTTCCTGCTCACTACTCTCTCCTTCAGCATAACTGTCATCCTGATCTGTAACCAACATATGTAGGCGACATTAATCATGATAACATTTTTCATACTAGGAACAAATCAGAAATAACCCAAGTGTTCAATCAATAGACTATGTAAGCAAGTATAGTATGTTAATAAAAAGTAGTGTATAAATAAAGAAACAAATGAACTATAATAATACACAGTTACATAGGTGAATCTCACAGCATGTTGTTGAATGAAAGGAGCCAGAAAACATATATACATTGACATAAATTTTAAAAATAGGTAAAACTAATAAGTGCTGTTGGAAGACAGGATTGTGATTCTTACTGACTACCTACTGTATACTAGGTACTTTGGTACTAGGTACTTAGAGATACCATAATAAATAATTGTTTCTGCCCTTGAGTTATTTAAGGTATATTGCAGTGATTGTCACATGCAGGTGATTTTGCCTCTTTGAGAACATTTGGTAACATTTGTAGACATTTAACTATTAAAATTGAAAAGATACTACTAGCATCTAGTGTGTAGAGGCCACAGATCTTGCTAAACCTTCTACAGTGCATAAGACAGCCCCTTGCAACAAAGAATTAATCAGCTTAAAATATCAATTAAGAAGCTGATCTACTGGAAAAGACAGAATATCAATTCAATGTAGTATGCCATAAAAGCTGTTAGTTGTTTGGTTTCTGTTCTGTGCCAACTACTCTGTTAAATGCACTTTTCTCGCTTAATTTTTAAAACAAGTGTGCAAAGCAGGTTATTTATTTCTGTTTCCTGGATGAAGTTACCTAAACTGGATAAAATACATTTTCCAAAGGCTGGGGTGGGTTGCAGCAATGAAGTGGATGGTATTAATGAAGATTGTGTATATTTCCAGCAATATTAGGATTAAGCATTCAAAAAAAAGAAGAAAATGTGAATGGCTGGAGAAACCATTATTACCCAAAGTGGTCTTTGTTAGGTTGATAGATATTGCCAGGTTTTTTTTTGTGTGTGATAAATTTAGGTAGTTTAAACATGTTCCTGAAAGCCACAGTAGCCAATGAAGGAAATGATAGTTACAGTTTTTAAAATCATTTTTTATGTGGTCAGCATGAAGGATGAGTGAAAGGAGAATCAACAATGAGGGCAATAAGATCAGTGATGTGGTTTAAATAAAGTAAGGATAGCTGCCTCTCAGACCTATTTTGGGCAACTTAGCTAGAATTTTTATCTTCCCTATCCCAGTATTTCATTTTTTCCCTCTTTATTCCCTCTCCTTATTTCCTT